TATGCACCACTTGAGGCCAGAAGGGGGTGTCAGAGCTCTTGGGACTAGAGTTACAGATGATTGTAAGCCTCCCTGTGGGTACTGGGAATTGAACCCGAGTCCTCTGAAAGAGCAGTCAGTGCTCTTAACCACTGAGTCATTTTTCCAATCTCCATGCACATTTCATTCATTTATTTAGATTTTGACTTTTTGAGACAGGGTTTCTCTGTGTAGCTTTGTAGACCAGGGTGGCCTCGAACTCACAGAGATCTGTCTGCCTCTGCCTCATGCATATTTATTAGTGTGTGGGTATGTGTGTGCACGGCACATGTGCAGACCTGAGGACAACTTGCAGTAGCTGTATTTAGGCTGTAGGGCTTATTGACCAGCCCCTTGGAAGGCAATTTTTAACTCTTCTCTCAAATATATACTAAAGCATATACTCTGTACACACTTAATGCTGATTTATCAGATGTGATCATTTAGTTGCATTGAAAGAATGAAAGCAGAGAAAAATGTTAAAAGCTGAGCATAAGGCACCCTTTTCAAGACTAGAAAATGAGCAATCTATAAGATCAAGCCCGTCACAGACAGCAAAGTTACAGGGCCGCTTTCAGTGGAACTATCTTTCTAAAATTATAAACCTCTGTACTTACTCCAAGCAATTGCAAACACTGTATTAATTGGATTAAAATTTAAGTTTAGGGCTGGGTGGTGTGGTTGAGTGGTAGAGGCTTTCCTATAATGTGCAAGATGCTGGGTTCATTGAAAAAAAATAAAACAAGTTAATTTCAAGAAGACCTGAAACAGACCAGATATATTCCAGATTGGATGGGGAGAGAAACGTGGATCTAGGATGCAGTGACAGCCCCTGGTGTTGTTCTCAGGCTGACAGAGACAGCTCACTTAGCTCCATAACCATCCCAGTGCCCTTCAGTCCTTTCAGATGGGAAAAGTTGGAAAGTTAGAACTACATTTTCCAGGAAACCTTGCAGCTAGGATTCTGGCCACAATTTTGTCTCTTTCCGTCATTTTTTTGTCTTCCAAGATCAGTAAATAGATATACTGGAAAGATGGCTCAGTGATTAAAAGTACCTGTTGCTCTCCCAAGGACCTGAGTTCAGTTCCCAGCACTTACAGTCAAGCAGTTGAGCTTCAAGGGACCCAGTGCCACCATGGGAATCTGCTGTGAGCACACACACACATAAGCAAATAAAACCAAATGTTAAAAAAGGGAAGACTGCTGAACAGAAGGGAAGCGACGCTGTGTGTACTGTTTCTGCTGGGGAAGGCTACCGTGGTGGTGTCTGAGTTTCCTACAGCGGCTTCTCACCATGGAGATACAGCGGTGGCTCCCTAGGGTGGGATTCCACGCTAGAGACACCTGTGGTTGCATGAACGACAGACAGTACTGAGTTCTCTGCATATGTTTTCCCTTAGTCTTTGGTGTCACGGGTCAGCAATCTAAACACAGTCCTCCCCACTCTTAAGAGCTTTTACCTTTTCATGTTAAAAGGAAAAAAAAGTAAGACACTTTATAACTTCTTTTTGGCATATCTGAATTGCCAGAGGGCTGGAGCTTTTCCTTTTAAACTGCCCCCTACCTAGGAACAGGGTCCCATGTAGTCCAGACCACTCTCAAACTGGCCCGGTATCTGAGGTTGGCCTTGGAATCCTGATCCTTCTGCTTCCACCTCCCAATCTCTGAGATTATAGATGTGTGCCGCCGTGACCAGCCAGGGCTTTATTCCTTAAGGATTTTATCTTTACGTTACGTGCTTGGATGTGTGCACATGAGTGCAGATGCCTGACAAGGTCAGAAGCTTTCGATATGCCTCCAACTGGAGTTATAGCCCATTTCTGGCCTCCTGACTTGGGTGCTGAGAACTAAACTTGGGTACACTACAGGAGCAGTACAAGTTCTTAACCTCTGAGCCCTCTCTGCAGTCCCTAGGGATCTATTCTTAAGGTTTCACTGCATTTATTGTGCACATGTGGAGATCAGAGACCATCTTTCTAGGAGTCGGTCAGTTCTCTAGTTAAGCTTGCACAGAAAGAGCTTTTATCCACTCTTGTAGGTGCCTGGTGAGGGCTTCTTTATTAGTATCTTTTACATTGTTAGCGTGTGTGTGTGTGTGTGTGTGTGTGTGTGTGTACATGTCCACACACCATGACACCTGTGTGAAGGTTAGAGGACAACTTGCAAGAGTTGATTCTCTTTCTGCCCTGTAGATCCTGGGGATCAAACTCAAGTTGTTAGGACTGGTAGCAAGTGTCTGCATTTCCAATCCACCTTGCTGGCTCCCAGCTGGGGCTTTTTATTAGGAAAAATAAAGGTGAACAAAGCATTTCATGGCAGTTGATCTGCTACCTGAGACCCTACTAAGAAACCAAACAGATCTATACAGCATGAACATGCTTTCTGGGCAGGTGGATGACACAAATTTTCATTGTGCTACTCAGATTGGCAAGCAATGTAAAACTCATGAATTATTAATTTTTGGAATGTCCCACTTACTATTTTTAGACTATGGTTGATGGAGTGTAATTGAAACCTTGAGAAATGAAACTATGGGTGGGGAGTATCCTCCCCTGTGTGTTTTCAGAGCTGCTAAGTGTAGCTAAGTGTAGTGACAGCTTTCTATCCGGTTGGTGGCTTCCTATTCCAGGAGAGGTAGTGGCTCCTTTGTTGACTCATTTCTGCAGCCAGGCCATCAACACCAGAGTCTGTGCCAATCTTCCAAATAGGTTTTTAAGCAATTCCTTTATCACTTGAACTAGCTAGAATGGATTTTTAGCTTATTTGGTTTTGTTTGTTTAGTAAAATGGTGGGGAAGAGGGCCTGACTCACTATGTGGACCTGGCTAGCCTTGAACTCAGAGTTCTACCTGCCTGTGCCTCCCGAGTGCTGTGGTTAAACGTATGTGTCACTTCACCTGTTCATGTGCTTGCTTTGGAGACAGGGTCTCAGCATACAGCCCTGGCTGGCCTGAAACTCAGTATGTAGATCAGGCCGGCCTCTAACTCATAGAAATCTTCTTGCCTGTGCCTCCTAAGTGGTTAAAGGTGTGTGCCACCATGCCTGTTTCTTTTTTAAGGATTTATTTTGATTATATTTAATTATGTGTCTCTGTGTGGGCATGTATACATGCGTACAGGTGCCTGTGGAGGCCAAGGGTGTTAGATCCCCTGGAGAGGGAGTTACAGGTGGCTGTGAGCACCCAATTTCCTGGGTACCGACCGGGTCCTCTGAAAGGGTTTCAAGTGGTCTTACCCACTGAGCCATCTCTCCAGCCGGAGTGCACTTGCAGCCCAGGATAACCTCTGACCTGCAGTCCTCCTGCTCCACCTTCCAGGTGAGGAAATCTCAGGTGTATGACACCATGCCCAGCCTGGCTTCTGTTGTTTGAAACTGAACTCAGTGTTACACAAAGGCAGAAAATGACATGTAAATAAAAAGCATGGGTGAGGGTGGAGGGATGGGTCAGTGGTTAGGAGCATTTACTGGTTTTGCAGAGGGTCAGGGTTCATTTCTGTCCTTTCACATGGGCTTTAGGGATCAAACTCGGGTCATCAAGCTTTTATCCACTGAGTCATTTAGCTGGTCCCAAAATGCCTTTTAAATTTTATTTGCCGTGCTGGAATCAAACCAAAGGCCTAGGGCTTGTCATACACGTGCTCTACAGCTGAACACCATTTCTAGGCCCTGCAAAAATGTTTTGATGGTTTAATCATGAGGTGCGTGGGTGTTATTAATGTTATTTTCTGTACTTTTCTGCATGTTTCTAATTCATCCTGATTTGTAAAACGCAGATGCACTCAACACTCTCCAGGACATCTTAGTATACAATTATGCGGGAAGCAGCTTCTGGGCTGAAAAGGGGGAAACTTGATTAGGCAACTGGCTGTTTTAAGACAGGAAAGTTGAGGAAGCCGGAGGGACAGCTCAGCTTTTAAGACAGTGTTTCTCAACCTGCGGGTCAGGACCCCCTGTGGAGCTGAGGGACTCTTTCACAGGGGGTCGGTATCAGATATTTACATTGTAACTCATAACAGTAACAAAATTAGTTATGAAGTAGCAATGAAAATAATGTTACGGTTGGGGTCACCACAACATGAGGAACTGTGTTAAAGGGTCGCAACATTAGGAAGGTTGAGAACCTATACCCCACTCTTGCGGAGGACCTGAGTTTGGTTCCCACTCCAAGGGACATCTCTGATCTCCGTGGACAACTGCATACACGTGTACATATCCACACACTTATACATAGTTAAAAATAAAACGAATCTTAAAAAAAAAAGGAGCTGGCAACTTCTGAAGCTGGGGTTTTGAAGACACCATGGGGCCACTTGCAGAGATTGGGGGCTGGTGCTCTGGCTGTGAAGGGAAGAGGCTGGGGTGGCCTGGCCTGCGTAGTGTCTCTCGTTGGAGTAAAACAGAAGCTAGGGTTAGAGACAGATCCAGGCTTAGGCTGATTTGGTGGTGGTGGTGATGACCTCAGAAGGCCGCCAGGAAACTAAAACGGAATGGGTAGGAGGAGGCAGTGGTTAGGCCCCGGGCTGGTCCAATGAGGTCCCCAGGTACACTCTGGTAAACTCCTCAAAGTGAGGTCGGTCAGGTGGTAGCCGCAAACTAAATTACGGCTCGCTTGAAGAGGGTAGGTGAATGGGCACAACCCTGTCGCCAGCGAGTCACCTAAATCCCAAGGCCATCCCGGAGCTGGGGGTGTGGGCGGTGGTGCCCAGCGGCTCCCACACGTTGGCGCGGTTCAGCTTTGCTGGCTGGATGTAGGTGTGAGGGGGTCAGCAGCCTGGGGACAGTGGGCTGGAGCACTCGGTCCGCGCGCGCCGGAGGCCGGGCTCCGCGGCTGGGAGGCCGGGCTCCGTGGGCCGGGAGGCCGGGCTTCGCGGGCCCGGAGCCCGACAGGCGGCGCCGAGGGCGGGGCCGGCGCGTGGGGGCGGGCCTCGGCGCGCTCCCGGCCGCTCGCTGGCTCTGGGGCCGCGGCGGCTCCTCTGCCGGGTCGCGCCGGAGGACGAGGCTTCGGGCGGCGGCTTGGGCGGCCTGCGGACCGAGCGGGTGGGCCGAGCCGCGGGGCCCCGCGCCTGCCGTCTGCCCGTCCCGCTCGCGCGGGGCGCGCGCCATGGCCGCCTCGCCGGGCTCGGGCAGTGCCAACCCGCGGAAGTTCAGCGAGAAGATCGCGCTGCACACGCAGCGGCAGGCCGAGGAGACGCGGGCCTTCGAGCAGCTCATGACCGACCTCACCCTGTCGCGGGTGAGGGCCGGGGCCGGGACGGCGCGGGCGGTGCGGGCGGGCCCGCGAGGCGGGGGAGAGGTCGCCGGGGCCGAGAGGACGGCGGCGGCGATGGCGGGGCCGGGCGGGGGCCGCGGTGGCGAGCGGGGCCGGGGCGGCTGCGGCCTCGGTTCTTGGCGGTCTGGCGACGCCGAGCGCGGCTCGCGATCTCGGCGGAGGTGCGAGGGTCGCCGGGCCTTCGGTGCGGGAAGCTGGAAACCGCCGGGCCGGGGGAGGCGGGCGGCGGGGCCGGGCGGCCTAAGCGGGAAGATGAGCCCGAGAGGAAATCGCACGCAGCTCCGAGGCGGGACCGGGACGCGCCTGGTTCGGGCGGTGCGGCTTCTCCGTGCCCTGGACACCCTCGACTGTCGGCCTCGGGGGTCCGGGGGGTCGCACATCCTCCCCGGGGGAACGCTCCGTGCGCACGAGTGAATGGACGGTGCCTCCCGAGTGGCAGGGGGGCCTTGGTACCACGATGTGATTCCGTGACGGGTTGGTTTGTGGCTTTCTCCGTTTCGCCTCTTGGAGGTGCTTTTCTTGGTCCGGTGCGTTTGTTCAACATCAGATGTTAGTGGAACCGACGGGGTGCCGAGCGTAGACGGTGACCGAGGAGGGACCCAGAGGGAATAAGGAGCGAGTCGGGACAAACGCCCGGGAGGCTAGACGCCTGGAGCGAGCGAAGCTGCGGAGGATGGAGAGCCCCGCTGGTGTCTGTGCAGGACCGCAGCGGGTCAGCGTGAGTGGGCAGCAGCGAGGATTCTGAGCGCTGGCCTTGAAGGCGTGTTGTCAGAGGGAGAGGCCGTGAAGATGCTGGGGTGGGCAGCTGGGAGGAGACGTGAGAGCAGATTGCGAACTGGTTTCCCTGCTCCCTGGTTTGCAGACATACTGTTTTTTTGGCCATCACGGTGTTCAGGAACTCAAAAAAAAAATCTGTTGCCAGGGTTTTAAAATTCGAAGTGTTTTCTTTAAACATACATTTAGCATAAAGTGAACTAATATAAATTTATAATATAAACTAGATTTACTTTAAAATTGAGAGACCTGTTAACAACCTTGAATTCTCATGTTGCCACCCTCAAGTAGAGTATGAACTCTATTTTTATTTTGCTACAATATAATCCACACCACTCACTGTCACAGCTCCCCACACCGGGACCATTTATCATGTTTATGTAATGTTTTCTTTTGGTGTAGTTAAGGGAAAAGTGAAATACTTTCCGAGCTTTCATTCCTACTACACCAAGGTTAAAAAAAGAAAAGAAAAGAAAAGAAAGAAAAAAGGGATAGATAAAGACCTGACCAGCTCCACCCCTTACCAGTTGGCACCCACAGGCCTTTACATTTTGTGACCTTGGTTAGACTGAGCTTGACAGAGCACACTGAAGAGAATGTGTGGGTAAATGCTACGGATTAATGTAAGGCCTGTGTTGTGCTCTAGAGGCATACGATATGCACAAACACATGCTCTGTATGTGTCTGTGTGTCTACAGTTGACTCAGTCACTCATTCGATTTTGAGTAATGCACAGATTATTTTTATTTTTATGAGACAAGGTGGCATAGTCCAGCTGGCTTCTAGCCTGCCATCCTTCTTCCTTAGCCTCATAAATGCTGGGGTCATAGGCGTGTGCCATCATACCTGGTTCAGGTTTTAAGCAGGAAGCCCTCACAGATGCTTAGTGGTCACTTAGTTATGAATTTACTCCCGTGCTCACACATAAAACTTGTGTATGAACTTCTTCAGGTAGAACTTTGATACACCCATAAATCAAAACATTTATGTGTTCAATGTAAACTCAAGGTTACAAATGCAATAAATCCAAGTAAGATTTAAGTTACCATGATAAATGCTATTCTACTGAACTGAACTGAGGCTCTCTATGTGAATATGTTGACTTTAGCAAGCCTGATCAACTAACTGTGGCTTATAAGCCAACCCAATTGATATTTTCTGCTAATTACTACAAAATTATGTCACTTTGCCCTTTACCTGCTACAGGGAACCATTTGCATGTTAATTCTGCTTGTGTTTTCTCCTTGACCAATTGGTTCCATTGTGTTCCCATGTACACAAGTGACAACACTGAATTTGCCCAGGAGTTTTTGAGTATTTTATATCTTAAAGGATTATTTTCCCAAAGAAATCACATAGTGGAACACTTCTTATAAAGAACTCCCAGATCCTCAAATACATGAGTATATGTTAATTTGGAGAACAATCCATATAGTTCATAGAGGGTAGTTGGATGTCTGGCTGCTCTACTGATTTTCCTTGCTGCATAATTATAGCAGGCATGCTGTTGATAGACAGGCATTGATTGATGTGGGCACCCTTTCTTCTCAGACTCTGCCAGTCTTTCAGGGCTGAACTTGAACTTTACTTGCCGGGTAGGTAGGATGTTCAACCTTTGGCCTGCAACCTTACTGGGGTCTCAGTCTGATATTTACATTACAATTCATAGTGGTAGAACAATTACTGTTATGAAGTACAATGAAATAACTTTATGGTTGGGGTCACCGCAGCATGAGGAACTCTATTAAAGGGTCGAAGCATTAGGAAGGCTGAGAACTACTGCTCTAGATTTTGGAGAATTTTTTTCTTTCTAGCTTTAGCCGTTCAGCTTCATCAGGAAGCAATGTGAAAGATTTTGTTTGTTTGGTTGATTTTGGTTTTTTAAGACTAGACTTCTCTGGGTAGCTATGGCTATCCTGGAACTTGCTCTGTAGATCAGACTGGCCTTGAACTTGGAGATTCTCCTGCCTCTGCCTGCGGAGTACTGGGATTAAAGGATGCCTGGCTAGTAGTGAGAAAGTTCTGAGGCAGGTGTCCATGGTGGCACCTGGGATCTCCTGGTAGGAGAGGGAGGAGAGAGGAGGCAGGTCTGCTTGAGAAGAGTACCATGCTGCCCATCGTTTCTGTGTTGTTTGTGAGTTGGGTACCACCGGTGGGGTCAATGTATGTGTGCGCGCTGGAGGTAAAGACAGGTGTGCCCTGTGACGGTCTCCTCAGTGTGCTCACAGATGCTGTGCCTGTAGTGTGTGCCTGGGGTTATTATGGTTATTTGGGATGCCAAGTGGGCAAGCAACAGAGTCTTCTGAGGGACATTAGGATTTAGAGAGAAAGATATTTAAGAAGTAAAGACCCATTTTGGTGAATGTGATAAAAAGGAAGTAGCTGAAACCCTGGGCATGTATAGTCAAAAGTTCATGCCACTTCTGATGGCCTGAAGGAGCAAGGGGTATGAGGAAGGAATGTGGGGCTATGTGTGTGGGAAGGGAGTGTGCTTCAGGCCAGAGTCCTAAGGTCCATCCAGCAGGAGGATTAGAAGAGAGATTTGAGATGCTAGAGACTTCACAGGTTGTAGAAATGGGATTTGGGGCTTGGCCCTAAGAACAATAGTAGGCCATTGAAGAGGTCAGACTTGGATTGATCTGCATCTTAAAAGGATCCGTCTAGCTCCAGAGTAGTGGCTAGAATCTAGGAGGCCACAGTGGAGAAGCTGTTTGGAGGCTGTAACAGTAAGTTCAGGCAGGGGGTTGGTGGCATTGACTAGGGTGAGGGTGAGCAATACTTAGAAAGTGTGAGGAGCTTTAGAGAAGTGAGGACTGTGAGAGAGGGAGGGTCCAGATGATCCTCAGGCTTCAGGCGCCTCAGGTCCTTCATGGAGAAAACCCTGGCAGGAGCTAGGCATGGCTGTGAAGATGCTGAGTTTGAGGGTCTTCGAGGCAGGGAGAAAGCATGTTCAGCAGGCATTGGTTCATATGGATGATACAAATGTGGGGCTCTTTGGAGTTTAGTCACAGGAGATTGGGCTGCTTGGGAAGTTTAGAGGCCACATCCTGCAGGGAGGTCTCAAGATGTAGGTCAGGTCGCAGAGGCCTTGCACTGAATGCTCCAGGTTCTCAGTTTGGTCCCCAGCATAAACCAGGTGTGGTGGCTCATACCTGGAGTCCCAGCACTTGAGAAGTTGAGGCAGGAGGATGAGAAACGTAAAGTCATCCTGTGCTACATAAGAAGTTTGAGGTCAGCCTACCCTGTCTCAAACAAAAGAAAACACCCCCAAAACTGCAAACTGACTGTTTGCCTACACCCTATTTTTGGCTCTCTGACATGTTTTTATTTTGTTTTCTTTGCCCAAAATATGTGTGTGTGTATGTGTGAGTGTCTGTGTGTCTGTGTATCCGTGTGTCCGTGTGTGTCTGTGTGTCTGTCTGTCTGTCTGTGTCTGCGTGCTTGTGTCTAATGTGGGCCAACAATGAGCACTGGGGTTTACATTAAAGTCTGTCTCTGAATTTTGGAAAATGAGATCACTTAGCAGCACTCTTCTTTTTACATTAAAATGTTTATTTGTATTTTTATTTTATGTATATGAGTGTTTTGCCTGCATGTATGAAAGTATACCATATGGGTGTCTGGTGCTCATGAAGCCAGAAGAGGGTGCTGGATCCTTTGGAACTGGAGTTAGGGATGGTTACAAGCTGCCCCGTGGGTGCTGTGAGCCTCTCTGGGTCCTCTGCAACGGCAGGAAGTGCTCTTACCTTTGGAGCCACCTCTTTAGCTCCTCTTTGCATTTATTCACGTTGTGCGTGTTGGGGGAGGTATATACATGCACACGATTGTGAAGTCCGATGACAACGGGCAGGAGTCAGTTCTCTCCTTCCACCACAGGGGTCCCGAGGTCAAACTTACATCATCAGGCCTGGCAGCAAGTGCCTTTACCTGCCAAGTCATGTCCCTGGCCTTTCCATCATGTTTCCGAAAGCTTGGCAGTGACAGTCTGGTGATGCCCCATGAGATAGGACATATATAAGTGGTCTTTAGTTTGCCACAGTCCCCACCATCTCTGTGGCATGCCTCATGATGCTCTAGATTGCTACTGACTTAGCTTCCCTACCTCGGGTTTGAGTCTGTCCCACTGCTGTAAAGTGAAGTGTGAAGAGGGCCTAGAAGCCAAAGCGCCCTACCGTTTCAAGGGGGGAAGA